TAAATGGCAGGGGGTGAAGGTGTTGACGGAGCGGGGAAGGGAGGGACTCGGAATCTTGAATATCTACATCTTTGTGTCTTGCCTTCATCATCCTTCTCCCAGGTTCCAGGGAAATGCATGTACACAGGTCAATGCCAAACACATATACACTTTGCATTACTATGAAATTCCAGTGTGGTCCCCAAGTGAGCTAGGTTGGCCCACAGACAGAATTCCTTTTTCTCAGGGTAGAAGTAGGAACAAGGTATGGCACCAAACTTGCCAAGCAGCCTCCTTCACCCTTTCACTCTCAGCAATCCGATGATGAGGAAAGGGAAGTCCAGGAAAATCACATTGAAAAGGAAGGGGAAAATAAGGGGTTTTCTCTGAGGTCTGGGGCGAGGCTGATCTAATTTGTCTGCCCAACATCTTGCACAGTAACTTATCCTACCATTGCAGCCACGTGGAAGAGAGAGTCCAAAGACAGGGGATCCCCAAAAATGAGTCCTATGCCTCCAAAATATTTTTGTCTTGACTTAGCCATACCACTATAGTATTTCATCATCCTGTGTAAAAGGGGTGGGGGTGGGGGGTGGGATAGTTATATGTCGTATTAACAGACCTTGCTTAGGTCATATTAACATACCTTGCTTAGGAACTGTTAAGTGATGGTTTCCAAATTGCATTTGATCATTCTTAATGTTTTGCTTTATAAAATTCTTATAAATCTTTTGGTAAAATGTAAGATAGACAATGTACATCATACTTAGTGGGTTTGTCTTCCTTGGTTTTGAAAGTGAGAAGGCCATGGTTGTGGTCTAGATTGACTATTGATAAGTAGGGTGATCAGTGCCTTCATTTTCTTACATGTATAAGCGAGGGCTAAAAGTCCTTATCCTTAAACTGTTCATCTCCATATTCCAGATGACATTGAGAAAGTGAAATGAGAGAAAATGTCCAAGTGTTTTGGAGAGTTACTCGGCCATTTCACAAGGCCTTTTAAGATCCAGAAAGAGGGATTCAATGCAGAAAAAGGCTGCTTTTCTACCTCAGACATCTTTAATATTTTTCTTACACTGAAGCTGTGATCTGTTCCTTTATTCTTTTCTCTCTTTAGTCTTATTTTGCGTTATGGAGCCTCATTTTTCTTTCACATGGCAAATTTTACATATTTGAAGGCAGTTCACTTTGTGAGATTTTCATTTAAAGTTCAGGTGTTGGGGCGCCTGGGTGGCTCAGCTGCTTGAGCGTCCCACTCTTGATTTCGGCTCAGGTCATGATCCCAGGGTCACGGGATTGAGCCCTGCATCAGGCTCCGCACTGAACATGGAGTCTGCTTAAGATTCTCTCTCTTTCCCTCTCTCTCTCTCTCTGCCGCCATTCTGTCCTCCTCTCTCTAAAATAAAAATAATAAATAAAGAAAACAAAGTTCAAGTGTTTTAAGAAAATATTAAACCACAAATAATATTAAACTTGTGTCTCAAATAATAAACATTGCTTTCCAATGAAAACACTTGGCCTCTAGCTTAAATACATATATCTACTAGTTTTAACAGCAATATCTTAGAGATGTAAAATGGGTCAAATTAATGGTATATTTTTTTAGACAGGATTTCACAAATCTTATAGTAAGTAATTAAATCCATTTTATTTTTTAAATTTTTTAATGTTTATTTTTTAAGAGAGAGAGAGAGTAGGGGAGGAGCAGAGAGAGAGGGAGACACAGAATTGGAAGCAGGCTCCAGGCTCTGAGCTGTTAGCACAGAGCCTGACGCGGGGCTCAAACCCATGGACCTCAAGATCATGACCTGAGCCAAAGTCGGACTTAACCGACTGAGCCACCCAGGTGCCCCAGTAATTAGATCCATTTTAAAGGGTAGGAAGATGGGAGCACTGGAATCAGAGAGATGTAGGTATAATTTATGGCTTCTTCAGCTGTACGGCCATGGTAAGTTATTTACCTTCCTCAGTATCATTCCTTCATCTCAGAAATGGAGAAAATAGTACCTACCTCTCAGAGTTTGGGCAAGGATAAAAGATAATGTAAGTAAAAAAATTGTAACACAAATATGGTGAAATACTCAACACAACGTAAAAGGAGTGAAAATATCAACATGTATCAACATGAATAGATGAGCAAAGTCAAATGTTGGAGGGACAACATTGAGAAACATAAATAAAAGTAAGAGTATATTTAGGTAAATACACTCATGTGGTACTCACATAAAATAATACCATCATTGTTCATGAAAGGTGGGTTGAAAAACACATACTAAATACAGCGTGAAAGAGTCAGTGCTTTTGGGATGGTGGAAATAGGATTTTAGATGGGAAATAAAGGAGACTAATGATATAAAATAAATACATTAAATATAATAAAATTTAAAAAAGAGTATTGGACATGAATTAGTCATGATGATTGCTCTAATTTTGTGCACTTGAGATCCAAGAGGAAGGGAAGAGAAAAAAAAATGTTTAGCACAGGGCCTGCCATATAGTCAAAGCTTAATATAAGTGGCTACTTTTATCATTTGAGTATCCTACTCAGCAGGGCTTTATTTGCATCAATTTGACTGGTATTATTGAGCTTACCAACATTTACAGGGATAAGAATTGAGCCAGTGGAGTGAAAAGACCAAGAAAGAAACTATGGGAAGTAGAAAATGGAAAAAAAAATCTTTTCATGATAGAGAATAATTGATACAGAATCATAACAGCGGTTATTTATTGAATACTTACCATGTACTGGGCATTCATTAAGTCAACCAACACATATTTATGAGTGCTTATTGTGTTAGACATTATTCTAGACATTGGAAATACAGCAGGAAAACAACAACTACAATGACAACAACAAACCATGCTGTTATGGGGCTTATATTCTAGCAAGGGGAGAGAGGCAATAATAAGTAAAATATACAATATGTTAAATAGTAGTAAATTCTATAGAGGAAACAACAACGAAAGATATGGAGTGAGGGTTAGGGAAGGCTTCTCTAAGGGACATTGCTCCAAACCCATTTCACATATTATCTCTTTTAATTAATCTCACACACTATGAAGAAGTTACTTTTATAAACTATGATTGCTACCTTCATATGAGTAAGTTGGGGCCCAGAGTCCTTCAGGATCTCTTGTAAGGTTTGATAACTGGCTAAATGCTAGTTTGGGCCACATAGCTCTGGAGCTGTCCCTTCATGTATTACTTCTCATATGGGGAGCTAGAAGGGGCTCTGGGAGATCCACCAGTATGGAGAGCAGGAATGTGGTTTGGTAAAACATTACATCAATATTACTGTAGTGTCCCTTTTAGGTTTGAGAATCTAAAGTAAACATTTTTTGTTTTGGTGGGAAAAAAACAACTTAAGAAAGAAAAACTGGGCAAACTCTTCCAGGGTGGGGGGTGTATCCAGAGGTTATTAAGGCTATGTCAAATATTTCCACTAAGAAATCCTGATTTAGTCCAACCCTTTTAATTAATTGCTACAGGCCAGGGAACCTCAATATTGTACATAACTTGCACAACCGCAAATGGCTTGTTTGTTACAGAACCAGGATGGGAAAACTGATCTTGAAAGCCAAAACAACCAGCACAACCACAATAGTTAGGCTGGGCAGCCAAGAGCCTCTGTGGCTCTCTGCATGGCCGCCTCCTACCGAGCTCTTTTGGCTGAATGGCTTCTCCTTTAAACTTCCGAGAGGCTTAAAGTGAATTACTGAGTTGGGGAGACCCATTTGCAGAAGAAAAGGAGAACGTATAATTAGAGGAAGAGAAGTGAGAGGAGGCACAGATGAAGCTAAGAATAGGCAAGGTGAACTTCAAGATGACTGTTTCCACACTAGGAAGGAGGGGGAGACAAGGAGAATGGGGCAGGGACACACAGGGTTCCTCTAGCTCAGTAATCCTAATTATAGTCCTATAAGACAGGTATGAATAGTGTTGTTTTTTACATATAGGAAAACTGAAGCTCAGGAAAGATACTTTACTTACTCAAGGTCATGTAGCTAGCAAGAGTCTCCTGATGTTTCACATTTTTTTTCTTTCCTTGAGTCTCTTTCTCCCCTTATTTGTTTCCATCGTTTCTTCCCTTCAGTCTCTTTTATTTGTACAAGGTGAAGCATTGAGGTTTTTACCCTTTTTCTAAAATAGTTATCAAGTATCCAATGATGAGTATGTGGTTACCATGACAACACAACCTTCACTGAGGACTGGCCTCCCCTTTGCCTCCAGAATCATATTTCATGGCACAGATTCCCTTCCTTTGTGGAACTTATAACAGCCTCAATTTTGTATTTTGTTTGGGTGACCATTTGCTTAACGTTTGTCCTTCTCTAGACCGGCTGGAAGCTTCACAATGGCAGGGGCCAGCCTACTTTTGCCTGGAGCCTGCCCCCAGCGTTTTGCACAATGCCTAGCATGCGGGCTCTGCGTAAATATTTGCTAAGCAAATGTTCTTGTGGTTTCTCTCAAGCTCTCTTCTGAAAGTATATGTACAGTAACCTTTAGCTCATGATTATGCTAATAGATACTGTATAACGAGTCGGGCCGGTATTTACAGGTAGTACACAGGTAAATGAACACACACACACACACACACACACACACACACACACACACACTCACACACACACGACTTCACAAACAGCCCCGGGCAGGCGGACTCAGGAGGAAACGCACGCCATTCTGAGCGGGCCGAACCGACGCAGGTAAACAGCGCTGAGCCCGGCTGCACGGGCCTCCGCGTTGTAGGAGGGCACCCGGGCGACCGCGCCGCGGGAGTCCCCAGCGCCCTGCGCCGCGTGGGCCGGTCCCGGGCGCTGGAGGCGGTGGCGGCGTGGGCGGCGAGCTGCGCCGTGATTGGTCCGCCCCTGCCGGGGCGGGGCGGGGCTGGCGGCGGGAGGCGGGCTCGGAGGGAAGGGGGTGTGCGCCGCGGCTGAGGCCGTAGTTTCAGTATAAACAAGGCACCCGACTGGTCGGGCGGAATTTCTTTTCCTTCTTCGCGCGCGCTTTAGCTCCCTTTTCTTTGGCCGCGCTTGTGGGCGCGCGGCAAACAGCCGGGAAACCGAGGACCCGAGGTCCATCTGCAGGTGGGTTGTTCCCTGGCCAGACAGTTCTCCCGGAGGGGCCTGAGCCTGGCAGCGGGAACGCGCGGCGGTGCTGTCCTCTGCGCTGTCCCAGACGGCCCCGGAGCTGCGCTCGTAGCGAGCCCGGCTCTCAGGCGCCCCGGCTGCCGGGTGCGCCTCGAAGAGGCGGGAGAATCGGGGCGACCAAACGCTCTCGGGCACAAAGCGCCTGGCAAAAGCTAGAAACCGAGGCAGTCGCCTGCCTGGCCGCCGAGGTCGCCTGGGCTGCCCTGGGAGCGGACCGGGTGCCAACAGGTGCGGGGCCGAGCCGCTGGGGCGCGGGCAGGGGCAGACTTGGGTTTTGCTTTGCGTCTCTCGCCCGGATCCCGAAGCTAGGCCTTTTCTTTGACATGTTGGTAGTTTTTGAGGATTTGTCTGAGTTCTAGTCGCGTTCATCCTTTCTTCATTCTCTCCTCCTTTCCTGTGCCCTGCTAGGTTGTTTCCTTCTACTTCTTGGTTAGTTTTCGTGCGTGTTGGGGGTGGGGTGGGGAGATTGTTTATTTTTGGTGTCGGTGCCCTATAATCTAAAGTCTGATTCTTAGGAAGGGACAGGGAGCAGAAGTCATGTGCTCGCCACTGACGAGGTGATATTTGTTCATGCCTCCGTTCACCTGGCGAATTTGGGACACACCGAGTCTCCCGGCACTTGCCCGAGCTCAGGTGAGTCGCCTCGAGACACCTGGCTAGGTTGTAATAACGTGAGCCAAAAGTACCTAGGAGCCTTGTGGCAGCTGGCATAAAAGAGGCTCCACTTTCTAGGGGAATCGTGGGGACAGCTTCAGCGCTGTACAGGGGGAAAGGGGCTGGTAGGTGCACACTTGTGTATGTGTATCTGTCTGCGTACCACTTGAGTATTGCTTCGCACTTTACCCCAAGCAAATTGACGCAGTTCAGGCGAAAGCAAGGTATCCAAGTCCACTCACAGTGTCCAGGGTGGCACAAGTGAGGTAAATAGCAGGAGGAGATCCCTGGGCAGCGACTTTCTCTTCTGAGTGTGGATGTGCCCATCTTCGCCAATGAATTCGGTGGGCACAGTGCGTGTAGATGAATATGCACACAAATTTGTGTATGTGTGTTTAGGCCGAATACGTCTCCAAGGAGTTCTTCGTCAGCAGCACCATGTGACCGCGGTCAGGAACTGCTGGTGTGCGTAGATCTATATTTAGCCCTGGATGATCTCCAACGGCCGAGGGAGGGTCTCTGAACTGGGTGCATAAAGGGGAAGAGTCTAGGGCTCAGGGTGTTGCACTCTTGAATAATGTCTGGTACAGTCAGACTCAGATGGGGTGAATAATTATTCTTTCCTCCTGAAAACAGTAGCCAGAGCTTGGCATGTGATAGCTATGTCTCAATTTAAAACGTAGTTGGACCACTGTGATAAAACCTATGCTAAGAAACCAGGAGGTTACAATTAACCAGATTGTAGGTGTGATTGGACATTTGAGAGGAATGCCACTGGTCAGATGAGGTTTGAGGCAAATGTAGAATTGATTTTCAAAAAGAAATAAAAGTAAAAAATTTTGGCTGTTGAGATTTTTATGACAGAATAAAAGAATGACAGCTTGTTAGGTCCTGTCACTAATGGTTATTTTATATGGGGTGGGGAGGTGGGACAATGGTTGGGGCAGTGAGGACTCTGGGGTGCTTTTGACAGAGATCAGGGTTCACAAGCATTGCTGTATTATCCCTTTCAAGCAGATTTTTTTTCTTGCAAAGATGAGAAGATCAGTCAATGATTAGTAAGTTTCTTGTTGGCATGATTCCACTACATGTAGGTCAATCCTTTGTTTTCCTGGAGGTGGCAACATTTCTGGCTACTAAGCATACTGGCCTCCTACTTTCCAGTTCTCTAATGAAGTGTTAAATTCTTAGAATTTATTTCTCCCATGGTTCATTTTCAGTCTTGCTCCGTTTTATATACTCCCCGAGACATTTTCTCCAATACTACCACACCTAATACCTGGGATAACAGTGTCTTTTGGAATAGAAAATCACTGGGGCGCCTGGGTGGCGCAGTCGGTTAAGCGTCCGACTTCAGCCAGGTCACGATCTCGCGGTCCGTGAGTTTGAGCCCCGCGTCGGGCTCTGGGCTGAGGGCTCGGAGCCTGGAGCCTGTTTCCGATTCTGTGTCTCCCTCTCTCTCTGCCCCTCCCCCGTTCATGCTCTGTCTCTCTCTGTCCCAAAAATAAATAAACGTTAAAAAAATTTAAAAAAAAAAAAAAAGAAAATCACTGGAAAGCGTTTACAGTTATTGTCTTTTTCCCCCAGCTTAGCATCTAATCTAATGTATTCTTAGGTATATATTACTTACTGTTTCTAAATATGTATTATTTCTTACAATCCATATTTCTTATATTATTGGTAGCATTACGTTCTTACAATCTAAAATTAATCACTGGGTGAGTTTCTGTGCTAAGTAAGGTACGTAATTATGGCACATTAAATGATAGAATCGACATTATCAATCTCCAAAGGCTACCTGGAAGAAGTGGACTTTGGAGAAGCAATTTGGATGGCTCTGGAGAGTCTTCCCTGAGACAGGAGATGGGGAAAAGAGGGCATTTCTCCCTTACTTAGGACAAGAATTTGAAATCCCTGAAGCAGGGATTGAGAATCTGGCACCTTGATTCTGATGCCACAAATAATAAATGGTAAAGACATTATAATGTATTGTGAAGTCTTACAGAGACAAATGGTGCTATTGAATATACCGCTTTAGATTTATGGCATTTTTGTGGTTAGTGGTCGTATTCAGGTATTATCTCCCCACTCCCTTCACTTTTCTAGAAATACAGTTGTTCTGTTTTGGTTCTCCAGTTAAACCTACAAAAAAAAAAAAAAAAAAGATGTGTACAACCCTTGATTATCTTAAAATAACAGATATTGTAGCCCAGTGCTGTGGGCAGATATCTACTCTGGGAATAGGGAGGTGCGTCCTGTCTGATCTGGAGCCCTAACCAGTCATTTGTTCTCTCCTTCTACCTGCAATATCTGTAAAGTTGATGCGGTATTGAGCTAGATGATTTATAAGTTGCTTTTAGTTCTTTGACCGTGGATTTATTCTGCTGTACTATCACTTCGTGCATTTGCATCCTAAATGGGGTGGAAGATTGGGGATGTGGTGTCTGCAGTTAGATGTTCAGCTACTTTCTGGGTATATGAAAATGGAGCAAAGAGAGTGAAGTTTCTTTCTATTGATAAGCACTATGTAGAGATTTAATATTTTCTTGACCTGCTTTCTTTCCCCATAAGTGTATTAGAAAATACTAATTATCAAAAAAGTTGAGTTCGAATTTTTTTTTTTTTTTACTTATTAAGTCAGTGTTAACATTTATGCAATTTCTAACCAGTCTTTGACCAATAATTTTTTTCCTTAGGTTAATATATTTATTATTCCATTTCAAGGTATGTCTGTATCTAGAAGTCATTCGTTTGATTCAAATTTTATTAGGAGGCCCTGGTATGAAAGCCAGTTTTACACAGTGAGAGTACAAATTAACCTTGTAAGGGAGGAAAACACTTTACAGACTGCCTGTATCTCTCTATTTATCAAAAGGAGAAGGGACAAACATAGTTTTTCAAGAACTTGCAGCTAAAAAATAAAATTATTCCAGGAATCATGTTCCATAATAAAATGTAAATGGAAGATTCTGCTTATTTACTAAGTGTCCTCACTAAGTATCAAGTCATTTTCCTGCTGAAATGAATTGGGTTTAGAAGAATAAACCCTTTCAGTAAAGGGTGCTCCCTGTATAATACTCTGTAATTTGTCTTGAGAGCTTATGCTATAAATTTTTTTTAATGTTTATTTGTTTTTGAGAGAGAGACAAAGTGTGAGCAGGAGAGGGGCAGAGAGAGAGAGAGAGAGAGAGAGAGACAGAATCTGAAGCAGGTTCCAGGCTCTGAGCTATCAGCCCTGGGACTGATGTGGGGCTCAAACTCGCCAACAGCGAGATCATGACTTGAGCCGAAGTCAGACACTCAACTGACTGAACCACCCAGGCGCCCCCGAGAGCTTATGCTATAAATGATGACTCAACAGCTTTATCTGTGCCATCCAGTATGATAGCCAATAGCCCCATGGAGATATTTAAACTTCAGTTTAGTTAAATTAAACAGAATTCAAAATTTAGTTTCTTAGTTATGCTAGGCACATTTTACATGCTTAGTAGCTAACTTGTGGCTAATGGCTGCTATGTTGGATAGTGTAGAAGAGGAAAATTTCCAACATCCAGGAAGGTTCTTTTTGACAGCATGTAATTAGATAATGATGATTTTGATTATCCAGAAGATCACTTTTACCCCTCTGGGAAAATGAAATAATTAATTCTCATCATAGATAGGCACTCAAGACCTAGGAAATAAGACCAACTGACTTTTTCAGCCAGTATTTTCAACTGTACAACATGAACAATGCCACTTTCCTAAATTCAGTCATATGCCAAGATGACAAACACCGATTTCTTAGTTTTTATTTCACCCAGAACTCGAATTGTCCTTTTACTTTTCTAAACCAGCACGCACCCTTACCACTGGAAAGCACCAATTTTTACAAAGACCAGGAACGTGGAGTCATCTACTGGTAAGATAAGGAACTACATGGAAGTTGTAGATGATTCAAAACAATGCAGAGAATATCAACCTGTTTGTTCTGTGATCTGTGCCCACACAGTAAAGATTTATCTTGTAGAAAAGTTTTATATGACCCTCCAGGCCCATTTAGAGTTGCCATGTAGTGAAATATCATTTTGTGCTTTAATAAACTGTTACCAAGCTATCTCCAAGACAAGAGACAACAAATTTTTGCTTTGATCTCCTTCCAAGGAAACCAAAGATAGTCAGTATTTGAGTTACAACCCTCTTCCTCCATCAATTAGGAATTAGTGAAGATTTCTAAAGTAGCATCCAGAATAAATCAAGCAAAATGAAATAACACCTTCTTTAATAAAAAAAATACCGACTTC